TAATTGTTTTCAATCTCCACATTAACTTCCTTTTGGTGTAATAATCCGAAGCTAACGGTAACTGCACGCCTGCTAATGTTATGTTAACGTCTCTTGCTTAAGGATTTCAGACTTTAAAGCTTATTTCTGTTTGTTCACAACCTTTTAATATGAAGTTAATCATATAATTTTCTTGCATTGTTGTATGTTGTGCAAAAAAAACCTTATTTTTGTGTAATCTTGTTGTTTTAATGACATTTTCCACTGGCATTGTCTCTGTCAGGGTAAAACCATTGTTGGCATTAGTTCTGACTTTGCTCTAAATCACCTTTTCCCTCTGTTTGCAGCAGGTTCTCTGAAAAGCAGCGGCCCCATTGGAGCTGGGTTTGTATCTTTTAATACTTATTCTAGAAACGGTTAGACATTTGGATTTTAATGTATAAGGATATCAAAAAATAGTACCAGTTAAAATCAAACAGACTTCATTCTAACTATGATTATTTTCAAGCAAGTGTGAAGTAATTTTACCCTGTGTTTTCTGGAGTTTTCCTGACTAAATGAATTCATTTGATGGCATGTTGCTCTGTATCATGCAGTCTAGGTGCTCCCACAAATGAGCTTCAGTTTGATCTCAGAATCTGACTCTTGCAGTTCTGTCAACAACAATTTGTCATCCAGTTTCTAATTTGTGCTCTTTTATCTCACCTTTGTTTTATTGGTTATTCTAAAATGGCTTTTTAGTGGCAATTTTGATGTGCAACAACCTGATGTCACATCTCCACTGTTGGATGCTGAAACCGATGTTAAATTGGTGATAATTGTCACCAGTTGTCGGCCATACCAAATAAAATACAGACCTTTTTGGATCTTAAAACCCGATGATCTGTTACAAGCAGGCTATACGTAGCTGCAAGTAGTAGGAAGCAGACAATATCACTTAAAGTAACTGATCTTTTTGTCTTTCTCAGTCTGGTTCAGGCGTCTCGCTCCCTCCAAACATCCTCTCAGAGTTTGGCCCCCTTACCTCCTTTGCCAGAGTACGGAGGAAAAGTCCGCCATGGCCTCTTCCCGGAAGAGTTATTCCAGCTCCTATATCCTAAAACTGGAGTCACAGGTGAGGGGTGCTGCTACGCCATCTAGACTTTCCTAAAGTCACTATAGCCCTTTTTCTTTTGAAAGGGTACAGTGAACAAAAAAATGTAATTTCGAAACTGTTTCATAGAACTGCATCTTGGATGTTGTTCTACTAGTTTAACTTATTAAAACATTTTTTTGTCTTTCTCCAGGACCATACATGCTGGGCACTGGGGTTCTCGTCTACTTGCTTTCCAAGGAAATTTACGTCATCAACCATGAGACCATAGCTGCCATCTGCATTGGCTCAGTCATCGTCTATGGTGTCAAAAAATTTGGTCCAAGTGTCGCAGCTTTTGCTGACAAGCTAAATGAGGTGCCTACATATTTGACTTTTTCCAAATAATTCATTCCATATGTGTTTGTGATATTGATGCAAACTGATGTCAGGTTGTGTTTACGATAATATAGTAACTTACACTCAAGTGGCTTTGGTGCTCTTGTTGTTTCAGAGAGTTTCTGCTCCATCCAACCTGGCCTATATATTTTTTTTCTCCATTTACTCTATCTGGTTGTTCAGTAAAGCTGGAGACATGACGCAACAGTCTCTACGGTATTGGAAAAGACTGAGAGAAAACCAGAACAGATTGTTTAATGTGTCTGTACACATTTGCTTTACATCATAGAGGAGGATGGAAAGGGTTAACTTCGACTCCTCTCCTTTGGACATGTCTGATTTAAGAGTTCATAGTAAACAATTTAAATTAAGGCTGCAAAATATATATCATATTTATGGTGCAATGTTGGTGTGCATGATATCAGTATTGCAAAGAATTGTTTTAAGTTTCATTAAGTCATTCTTTGCTTATCAGATATCCAGTCAATCTGTAGGGTTTCGTTTCACTACATTTAGTTCCCACGTTTGAATCAGATGATGGAGCCCAACAGATTAAAACCACAGAAGTTAAGAAAGAAGGCGAAAGAAAAATGTGGATTTATTGGATTGTAATATTTAACCAATGACTTCTGCATCATTTTTTTAAAACCGCACAACAATTTAAGTATCTACCACAAGAGATTTGCTTAAAACTTTGACAGAAAAGCACAACTCTTCAATATTTACAAAAAACTTATTTTTATAATTTCATTGAATTCCGAATCAAAATGTTTTTTTAAAGCACACTAAAGTCTTTTCTGTACAGAGACTATATCGACTGAGAACATGTTGGTTGGTAGTGGGTCGTATTGTTAGCAGGGTAACAATACGACCTACTATTCGGACCCAAACTGTTCAGTTTTCACTATATTGGTTCCAAATACTCCCTTGTATTTAATGTTTTTTTTTTCTTTTTACCCATAGCAGCTTTGTTTTAGTATGTTCTGTCAGACCTTTAGTTCACAATAGGGGTGCACCGATTTATTGGTGCCGATTTCCTTAATTTTGGGATATTGGTGATCAGCTGATTTTTACATGGGAAGCCAATCTTATCCACCAATGTTATCAACCTTTGCAAAAGTCTAAAAATCAACCACTGTGCTTTTTTTTTCTCCCGTGAGAGAAGTTTGACTGACAAACTGACCGACCAGGTCATGTCTGCACATTTACAGTTAACAATAGTCTTCCCCATGGTTGCCAATTCAGCAACTTTCTTGAGATATTGAGCAACATTTCAGGCAAAAAAAAAATGGTATCAGCCAAAATCAAAATTGGTAAATTAGGTTTTTTAAAAGATCGATAATCAGAAAACTGCTATCGGTGCACCCCCAGTTCACAATGTTCTTAATGTTCTTCTCTTTTGAGCTTGAAAATAATTTTTTGAATCTTTCTTCTCTCAGGAAAAAGTGGCCAAGGCCCAGGAGGCGAAGGACATCGGCATGTCCAGCCTGACTGAGGCGATTGAGAATGAGAAGAAGGAGCAGTGGAGAGTTGAGGGTCGGGGGATGCTGTTTGACGCCAAGAGGGTAAGCACCTCTGACTTCTCACCTGTGGTTCACGACATTACCTGTTTCCATCGCAAATGTGAGCAAAACGTTGTCCCTATTCCACTAATGTTGAAAAGACACAGTTTCCTTATTGTGGCATTTCCATCAAATAACGTGAATATGTTTGTGTACTCGATAAGTCTTACAAAAAAATGCCACACCATCTTCCCCCTAAAAGAAGAGCACTTCCTGTTAGAATTATGTCCCAGTTCTGACCCAACATATTCACCTTTTGTTTTTCCTCTTCTGCTTCAGAACAACGTGGCCATGCTGTTGGAGACCAACTACAGGGAGAGGCTACACATGGTGACCAACGAGGTAAAGAGGCGCCTGGACTATCAGATTGCCCTTCAGCACCTGAACCGCCGCATGCAGCAGGAACATATGATCAACTGGGTGGAGAAGAACGTCATCAGCAGCATCACTCCTCAGCAGGTCAGTCCTTCCCCTTTTCATGAAAAAGCCGAAGCTTAATGAGATCTTGGAGCTTTGCAGTTGTGCAGAAATGCCCCACATAAGGCCGTAACATTATGTAGCGCAATAAAGATAACTGCCTCTCTATGGCTGAGCTGTTCTTCTCATTTATTTAAAGTATTGACTTTGATTCAAGATAATGGGATTAAAACTTAATCAACTGCATTCTTTTTTTTAAATATTTGTTTTGACTAAAAATTTCGATGTTTGTTTTGGAAATGCCACAAATTGTTCATGTTGATATTATTTAGTTATTTGTTATCGAAAACACACTTACCAGTGTAATTTGTTGCTGCCTCAGTAGGAAGTCAGAGAGTGATGCACAAATGTTTTTCTGATCATTTAAGCAATGATTAATTTGTGTGCGATATTTAAGAATGACCAGTTTGTCAAGTTTTGCAGAGGTCTGTCTTTAAAAAATGGCGTGGGAAAAAACATCACTGAGAGGATGATCGATTAGACGATGTTACTTTGTCGTTTTTAAAGGATTTTGAACTCAAATGTGATTTCACGAGAGTAAAGTCGGTTATTATATTTAGATTGTGCTCTTTTAATATGAATCTTGCTGCCTAACTCAAATTTTTTTGCAACTCACTGATCCTTTATTCTTCTTTTTTTGAGTTATTTACAAGGAAGTCAACCCAGGATATTTACAGTGTTGACCCCAAAGTATTTTATAAAAATACAGAGATAAGATATTTAATATCTGAACATAGTGAAAAGTTTGTTTTCTTTAGTTTTTTTATAATCAAAAGGTTAACCAAATACAGACTTTTCCTCACATAATCTGAACCTAATCCAGGAAACTCTTGTTCTGAGAATAGACAACCAGCTTCAACATTTTGTTATGGTTCATTGAACATGCAGATCATTAAACGCAATAAGGTAAATGTTCTTAAGTGTCCAGAATGTTGTAGAAACTGCTGAATAAGACATCAGAAAGTCTGGAAAATAACTTGGAAAAGAAAGATTTTTAGGAACCCGGTTGTTTGAAAAAGCAACAACAAAATAAACCTGGTATATCTCAAAGTCCGCATGTTAAAGTTTATTACAGGACAATGAGGAAAAGACAGCAGCAGTGTGTTTGTTTGTTGAGGTTGCCTGGGAAATTTTTTCTTCAGATTTTGTATCTTCAACTTTTATTTTCTTCCTTTTCCAGGAGAAGGAGAGCATTGCAAAGTGCATCGCAGATTTAAAGGCGCTGGCTAAGGCCACCCAGACCAAAGCCGCGGCGTAATCCTCCCTGAAGAAGACTAATCGGACCCTCAGCTCAAGGTTTCTGGATGAAACGTTATGTTTATTTTACAGAGTGAACTATTTCTCTTCAGCAGTTGTCTATGTCAACATTGTGGGTGTGTACAGTATTTACACGTCAAGAGACGGTAAAATAAATGGTTCTCTTATTCAACCTAAACTGTGTGCTCGGTTTTTGTTCTGTCCAATATTGTGATATAACATTATTTGTTTGCTGTATTACCTTTTCAAATATAACGAAACTTAAACCTTCTTGAGCTGCTTTGTTGCATAAACATCGAACAATTCTTGAGACCTTAGATAAGTCTGAAGAAGGCTATATAAAGCTGCACCTACCCTTTGGATTCATAATGAGTCACAGCGTTTTTGCCCTTCAGGTGGCAAATCAGGCCGCCCCTCTTGATCCGTCACTCCTGTCAGAACGTTGCACTTTGAGCCTTGAGCTTGCAGGCGGAAGTCCAGGACATTTTCTAGGCGATGGTCTTTGGTATCAGATGTTTTGTGCCATCAGACGTGTCGGAGGGAAGTTAATTTTGACTGGAGCGATGACTCCGGAGCGGAGCTGATACTCAGAGGTGAGTCCTGAACGATGTGCTGGGCTTTATATGAGTGGAGGTTGGACAAATAAGTCTTTATTGGTGACAGCTTTGGTTGCTGTTTTTAAGGTTGAAAATGTGTTTGCTTTTATAGGTGGCTTGCTGTTAGCAGTGAAAGTTACTTTGTATCTTGTTTTAAATCCAGGAGGTGTTTGTTAAATTTAGGGCTAAAATACAGAGCTGTAGTTTAGTGTTTTTTGGTCAAACATATTCAGCTAAAAAGCTTTAAATTAACATCTTAATTTTGAAGCATAAATCATTAGTGAACACAACGACCAAATCACAAAGCTGATGCACCACTGTTGTTCTTGATACAGTCTGGAGAACAGTTTGATTATTACTCAGTTTTTTGTTAATTTAAACCCTGAATATATCACAGGTCCTGTAACTGATTAACTCAGCATTGCCCTGTTAGTGCCAACAGTCTCTGAATTTCATTTTCATGCCTTCTTTTAGGTTACCAAGGACAGTTTTGGATGATAATCAATGATTGGTTGTAGAAAGCAGTTCTTTGCTGAAGAGGCTCACGTTGGCAATTCAAATTCCCTGAAGATCTTTATTCAAACTAAGACAGCATTATTATTACATTTGTAAGAAATATTAATCTGCTCTGGTCAGATCAGAGACAGAAAACATACTGAAATTAACTGGGTAAGCGACGTTTTGTTTTAAATCATTGCTTAGTGTGAATTTATAGAAATAGCTGTGAAATAGAAATTTTTGAAACTTAAATAATTGACAAAAATATCCATAGCTTTGTAAAAACTGTTACATCTGGTCACAGCAAAGAATGAAATGGCTACAAAAAATCACCTCAAGCTGGTCAAAAAGCTACAAGAAGCTATGCATAGACCATAGTGCAAAATGAGTAATGTTTGTAAGACCCGCTTCTTTCTTTAGTTGGATGACATAAACACATTTATATTGAACTTTTTCAACTAGTGAAAGTCATTTTAGATTTGTTGCCAGAGACCACGTCCTTCATTTTCAGTTCTGCTAAAAGAATAATGCAAAACTCAGATTGAGCTTTTTCAACAGCATTTGAGTACGTGATGAAAACAAAAGAAAAGCCAGATATTCAGAAGGAGTCTAATTCAATCTAAAAAGCTTAAAAACCATCTTCAGCTTAGGGCTTAAACATTTGGTTGTACCGTGCAAAAAGCCATTTGCAGCTGAGTGAAACTTAGGTTGACTGTGGATGTTGAGCTTTATAAAACTGTAACATCAGCGTAAAAATATAAAAATATGATGGGAAGACGTGACTTCCAATAATGCTGATAAAGAGGATAACTATGAGGGGTCCTAATACTGAACCCTACAGGACACCATTTGCTAAATGAAGTGGATTTGAGATAAAACTATCTGGCTGTCCGCAGAGGAAAACAGGCGACCAGTTCGAAGATGGTTGTCTGCAGCCGGACAAGTCCTGATTTGTTGTATGTTGTCCTGACAGACGTCCTTCTTCTGCTGGTTGGAGTAAATTCCAGATTATCCTCGCCGCCCTGAAGTGTGAACCTCAGTAGATCCATAATGCTTGGAAACGGCCGACCTTTCTCCTACTCCCCGAGGTATGCTTAGCAAACAGTAATGTTTGGATTCACTAATTGTGATTTAAAAGCTCTCCAGCTCTTAATAAGTCTCACCCTCGCTGATAACAGTCAACGCACATTTCTTTATTGTATGTATCTTTGTATGTTTTGAAACTGAGCATATTAAGGTTTTTGAATTGGCACAAGCTGTCCAGGTGCCTCAGAACACACCATTTTATCTTTCTGTGTTTTCTTCTTCTTATTATCAAGGGGTTTCTCTCAGGAGGATTTCCCTCAGAGGCGAGCGTTTCACCAAGATGAGCCCAAAGAATCCCTGCTGCAGAGAAACAGCATGTCCAGACCCAGTGGAAAATCCATCTACAGTATGTCCAGACATCAAATCACACCTCCTTACTTAGATATAATAATGTTATCTGGGAGAAACAAAAAAAAATATTTTTTTTTTCATCAGTGCAGAGAAAAGAGTATGCAGAGATGCTCAACAAAAACCCAGACAGCTTTCAAGTCAGAGTGGAGGTAGGAAACGTGCTCTTGCGTGACGATGTGCTTATTATTTTGAATTTAGCCTCAACTTCTCTTCACAAACCTGCTCCTCCCACAGCATCTGCTCATCTGTGAGCTGGACGGCCAGGAGCTGAGGTCAGAGAACGACTGTGTGACCAAGCTCAAGGAGCTGGACGGCAAAGGTCGTCTGTGGCCCCAAGAGATGATCTTAGAGATAAAGGGAGCCTATGTGGTGCTCTGTGACATTGAGACCAAGGTTGGTATTGATTATCTAAATAATGACCTGAATGATTTGGCAAAGAAATGAAATAGTTAGGCGAATGCATTCGAGGTAAAAAGATGCAACTTGAGGAATACGCGGTATAACCACAGCTTTGAAAATAGGCCCGGCACAGTAACAGATACTAATGGCAAAACACATTCTCAAAGATAAATAAGCTTTAAATTGCAATTAACATTCAAACATACATTTTAAATATCCAAAAATAAATACAAAAAACATAAATGACTTATGAAGTCAGTGTAAACAAAATTATCTTTCAAAAAAAGGGTAGTTGAGACCAAAGCACCACACTAAAGATTTTTATCATTCAGTTTTTGGTAAAAAGAAATAGAAAAGAGAAAAATGAAAACCACCTGAAGATTATGATATGCTAATAAAAAAAAGGGAAATGCTTTCAGTATAACAATCTGATTCTTCTGGAGTTCCTTTATAGGACCTAGCAAAAAGGTCTTGTTCACTTGTTATTGTAATCTATCCAGTATGCCTTAATCTGCTTTAATAAGCAGAGTATGATGGGTGTATGAGTTCAGAAATATTGTTTGTCGATTAATTTGTAGTGATTTTACCTTGTGATTTTACAGGCGGAGCTGGATGCGATACCTCTGACGAGCATCGTGAAAACCCGTGCGGTCCTGGAAAGCTGCGCCTACAACTCTCTGCTGGTGGTGACCGTGCAGGAAGCCCGCAGGCGCGGCCCTCAGGTCTTCATGTTCCAGTGCGAGGAGACGGGGGTGAGCTTTTCCTTTCACGAGAACTTTTTACTTTGAGCACCAGGGCGCTACAGAAGAAGGAAATATGTGAAACTGGTATCTGTACATGCTGCTGGGGGTGTGATTGATGGCAGGTTTTGATATTTTATCAGGCAGAGCTCATTAAGGCTGATCTGGACAAGGCAATGCAGAGAGGAGGCGGTGATATAGAGCCACGCAGGATGACGCCTGACATCAGGTACATGACTGAGCAAACATCACATGTATGAGAAATTGGAGAGATCGGATGTTTAGAGAAATAATGCTGGAAATATCTTCAGTCGCCAGAGTGCAAGCAGTTTCCGGCAGGATAGGTTCAGTCCTATGCAGCAGGAGGAGAACCTGCCGCCTGCAGACTACGTGGCCCCGCAGTGGGACAGCAGACAGCCAGGTACGCTCAAAGCAAGCTGGGTAGATAGTGCAATATGTAGCCAATAGCTTAAATGTATTTAATTGGGATTTTATTCAGTAGAGCAACATACATGCGAGCAGGAATCCACTGACAGATGTTATTTTTATCAGTATGAATGGAGTATTAGTTCACTAACGCAGTGGTTTCCAAAGATTTTCTTTTTGTGTGAAACAACATCATTATTTAGAAAATCAACCAAGAGACGGCGGTCGTAACATGAGGCACAAACACAGCAAATTACCCAGAAGTCACCGTCTCCATGGTGAAACATGATGGTGGCTGCTTTTCCTCAGCATGTCAGGGCAGCTCGTTGGAGACGATGGGAAGACAGCGCCGTAAAAGGCCTCTAAAGGTTTTTATAGCCTTTTAGAGGCTGTAAAAGATTTCAGATAGTTTCACTAGATGTAAACATGCAGCCAGAGATGCAATGAAATTGGTTTGATTAATTCCTTTGATTAAGTCCAGAGTTGAGCTAATTGAAAAATCTGTGACAAAACTTGGAAAAAACAGTCCTTCCAGTCTTGAGTTATTTTATAAAGATGGTAGAGACAAATCCCAAAAACCAACCAATGTAACCAGCTTCTGTGAGTTAAAATTTACTGTAAAAAGTGTTTCAGCAACAAACTTGAGTAACCATCGACATTCCCTGTCATTTTTATCTCTTATCCATTTAGATTACAGACCTGACTCGCGTCCTTATTCTCCACAAGAAGAGATGTCGAACTATTCCGATTTTCACGATTCAGACATGGCTCTGCAGCGAGCGGAGATGGAGAGAAACACGGTGAGTGCCATGTACTCTGCAGCTCTCTCTTTGCTCCCAAAGAAAAAAACCGGCTGACTTCAAGCTTCTGCAGCCTCCATTTATGTTTTCATTCCTTTCCTCAGGACATTTTTAACCACATTTTAACTGATGTGGAGATCTTCGGGGCCAGAGTAGGACAAGTTATGAATACAGCTCCGGAGAAAGAAAGCAAGGGCAAGATTAAGTTTCCAAAAAAGAAAAAATCCAAATCAAATGGTAATAATCGTCAGAGATCATGCGCGTATCATAACACGCCTGGCGGTTAAGTTGATGATGTGACTGTTTTCGTGTTGCAGCATCCAATCTGCCACAATGGAATGAATATGTCGCCTTTCTTCAGAAAATCAAATATGCATTCAATCTGCTGGTACGTACCGGTTCGGTCGCTGCAGTTTGGCTGTGAAATAATCTGTTACTGTAATAAAAACCCCCCCAAAACTTTTCTTGACCTCACAGGGCCAGCTGAATGGAGCCCTAGACAACCCCAGTGCTGATGTATATGTGCATATCTTCTTCTCTTTCCTGGGCAATGTAAGCTCCTCCCGCTCCAGGTATTTCTCCTATCTGGTATCAGTTGTGACAGTGCATGTTTTTTCTTTTTCTCGCAGATCGTTCCTCTGTATCCCCAAGATTTACCTCCAACAGTCACCTCTCCCCTGCTGACGGACGAGGCTGTGAGGTTCCTCAATCAAGTTTTGGATCCCCAGGAGAAACACCTCTGGACGAATCTGGGAGAATGCTGGAACATTCCCAGGTTGGTTATTTTCTACAGGCAACCGGTTCTTTTTTTTTTATTTCCTAAAGCTTGTAAAAATTCCTCAGACACGACCCACTCACGTAATTTCTTGACCCGACAAGCCCAAACTGGGCGTAGGCATCCGGCACCACATAAGTAAATACAGTTCAAAGTTTAAGTCGATTTTCTAATATGAGGAAAAATGGCAGAAAGGTGTGTTTTATTATGAATCATAGCTGGAAAGACAGACTCACTGCAACAATATCAGAGGAGTTGTTTTAGGCGATGCAACTTAAGTCAATCTCTTCTCTCAACCTTTGGATTTTATGTAATAAATAAAAAAAAAGTAGCAGATTATAATGGGAAAGAAAAAAAGGTTTGAACAAATAATAAAAATCTGACAAATGTTAGCATTTATATTTAACGAATTCATCCGCTGCACCCTTGAAATACAAACTACCAAATACAATCAACTCATAAAGATAATTATTAAGCTTCTATGTTGCTTTGTCTTATCTGTCTGTCCGTCTATTTATTTCTGTTTCTGGTAGAAAGCTGACTTTCTACCAGTTGAAATTAGGTAGAAATGGATTTGAACAAATCCATGCACTGATTTGTTCAAAGCATCTGTTTTAGTTCAGAGTCACCCGGTGACATCATACTGTAGAGCTGTGTATCATCCGCATAGCAATGGTAGCTAGTCTTATTGTTAAAACCTGAGCTAGAGGATTCATGCAGACATTAAATAGGAGGGTTGAACCTTGGGGTACCCCACATGTGACTTCTGTGCGCTCTGATGAGAAGTTACCTATAGGCACAAAGAAATCCCTGTTCTTAAGAGTCAAACCAATCGAGAACTGTTCCTGAGTCCTGCCCAGCTGCCAAGTTCAAGAATATATCCTGGTCAGTGTCAATTGCTGCTACAAAATCCAACAGAACCAGTACTGTGGTTCTTCTATAGTCTGCATTTATATTGGTGTCAGTTTCGTATTGTTATTTTTTCTTTAACCCTTCTTTCTGTTCCCAGGTCTTCCTGGCTGGGCAATGTCGATCCTTACATCCCAGAGTTTTATGACGGCTGGCAGCCTCCCGCACCCCTTCACTCCCCTCCTGATCCTCAGCGGAACCAGACACTGAACAGAAACAACAGCCAGCGCTTTCCGCCCGGACCAATGAACAATGACCGGAGCTACTCGCCCAGAGCTACGGTTCAGCGCTCTCAGGTGGTTCACACTTACCCAGTCATCAAGTGAATGAATGTTAGAAATCATGAGTTCTCAGCAGCTCCAGCAACAGATTAAGTTGTGTGTGTTTTTTTTTTAAAGACATTGTTTACCTGTTAACACAACACTGCAAAGTTCTGGATGTGTTTGGAAATGGCAGAAAAGAGTGAAACTTTTAACCAGTTGACAGGAGTTGAAATCATAGCAAGCAGATAAAAAGGCCAGAGCAATTATTTCCATGATTTTCCACTGTTACTATTCAACAAAGCAACCGTAGAACATGTTTGGGTTTGAAGAAACAAGCTGAACGTCCACGGTTCTTATCGTGATGTACCTTGTGTCTTTTACAGCCCAGGTCCAACGGTCCAATGAGGTCGCAGCCATCTCAATAGTGAGTTTTATCAGCAGTGCCTGCAGGGTCGCACGCAACTAACATTTCCTTGTTCCTTACTCTGTTTATGAAAAAAACTTTAACAAAATGTTTTGTTTGTTGCGGTTTCAGCCCGACCGAGCCACCGCTCTTCATGCGAGTCATGTACAACTTCTCAGCAAGGAACAGTCAGGAGCTGACCGTCACACAGGGAGAGATGGTTCAGGTAAGAGGTCAAACATGATCGCTTAAAGGTATACTTTTAGATTTATAGTACACATTACTGGTTTATTATACCTAGCATGGCTATTTGCAATCGTCTCAGTGTCTACTGCCTGTAGAAACCCTTGATTGCTGTTGAGGAGCTGCAGAGATCCATAGCTTAGGTGCAATCTGGCCTTTATAATAGATTAAAATCATTAAAAAAACATCGGGTTTGATGCTTCTTGGTCTAAAGTTATGCTTTGTAATTTGATATTGTCCATATTGTTCACGCCAACGAAAAACTGTGCATATATTTATGCAAACTTTAATGCAAAAAGTTACATTTTTATCCACTCCAACTTGTGCGTAAAATATGGCGCCACACATTTTTTTTGTGCGCACACACGCTTCATGCATGAGGCCCCAGGTAATTCGACTCAGGTGTGTTGAACCATATCGGTCCCCAAAGGTTGGATTTGAAGACCACTTCTCTAGATGTTCAAAGCCGTTTCTGACCACATTTCAACGCAGTTAAATCTGCAAGCTGTTTGGAGAATCTAATGTTTGGATTTCATAAATAATGCATGTTGTCTTCCATATTTTTATAGTTGCTTTAAAGTCCTCTGAATTAGGAGATTGTCAATCTGATCAGATGCAAAATAAGACAACTAATTAGAAGGAAAACTTTTGCTCAGATCGACTGTTAAAATTTAATCTGAAATACCACACTTTTGGTTCTTGCTGGAACTGCAGACAACAGAAGGCTTAATAATCTTTAATCTTCAAACATCAGTCATTTTTCCAGCTTGTTGTTTGTTCTTGCAGAGGAACCAAGGCTTTTGTAAATATTATGATCTTCTTGACAGGTGGTCCAGAAATCTAGGCCGTGGTGGCTCGTTCGAAACTCCCGTAACGAGGAGGGCAACGTTCCTCCAAACATTTTGGAGCAAGCCGAGAACGAGTCCTCAGAAGAGCAGCCGGTGAGACAAGAGGTCGGTGGCGCAACATAGAAACAAAACTAACCGATTTGACATGCTCTTCCTCTTTCTGCTTCACAGTGGGACTCACGGCGTCAGGTTACCCTCGACTACAACTCCACTCCTGCAGACGTGAAAGCATGGCTTGAGAGCAAAAACTTCTCTAGAATGTAAGGACCACTCTCTAACTTTAGGATGGTCATTCAGTAAAAATGAATGATTTACAAAGAATAAACAGGGAATTTTTGGTTGTCAACTTCTCTTGGCCAGCACCGTGTCCAGCCTTGGAGTCCTGACTGGAAGGCTGCTTCTGGGAATGACCAAAGACGAGATCAGGACGGTGTGCCCGGAAGAAGCTGGAAAAGTCTACTTCCAGCTTCAAGGCATTAGGACACAACTTGCAGTAAGTGCACTCTTTTGAAAATTTTTAAGTCATAACAAACCTTTGGTAAGTTGCTGATGCTAATTTTTATTCATTCTGATAACTTGGAAAATGGGTAACCATGTTGTTTAATTTCGACTGTGACAGGAACAGACAGGTAAAATTAATCTGTTTCTGGGATTAATGAAACTTGGCCAGTTTTATTGGTCACAGTCAGTTTGAGGCATCAAGACCAAACCTGTACACCCAGAAGGCCCAGGCATGCAGGGCACCAAAAACAAATCAAACAACTTTCAGGAAGATTATTCTCCTGGAATAAATATAATGTTTTACCTTGGAATCAAAAATAATCTGGTTAGCAGCACTATAGAGTTTATTTGTTAAAACACCAAAACACTATACTCAAAAACGAGATCAGGAGTGTAAAAGGAAAATTGTATGCCAACCAGTAGAGAAAAAGTCCAGCTATTACAATGAGTGACCTTTAAGCAACAGTAACCCTCCAGTTCTCTCAGATCGCATCTCTGCATGCAGAAAACATCTGTAATGCTCTATTTTTTTCCCTGCAGCTTGCCAGTGAGCAGTCACAAATGTACAACAACCGCTACTGACAACAACCACAGGTGTGATGCTTAAACTTCTGGACTTAACGGTTCTGGATCCCTACAGATCCGTTCTCACTCTTAGGATCTACAGACCTTTATCCAACCTGGCTTGTTTATTTCAAAAAGTATGGCCTGATTTTGTATAGCATATAAAAAAAATAAATCAGTCACTTGAAGTAATGATGGTTATTTCATGTTAATAACTCACCTTTGTATTAGGCTAATCAGCACTATTGCCTCTAATCTAATCATCCATGAACATGTATAAATATGTCTAAAATTGTGTAAGAACCTCCTACTGCAGTAAATTATTGTTATTTTAAATGGCCCTTGCATGTGATTTATTGTAGAAAGTTTGTTAATAAATAAAATCAGATTCAAGTGAGATTTAGTTTATTCTGTCAACAAAACATGTTACCAAACTAGCAAGTGCTTTGATTGAAATTAAAAATATCGGTATTCACCTTGACAAACCGAAAGGACATGAAGCCTTCATGATACAACAAAAAAGATGACAAATTTACTCCTGAATTTAAGTTTCTCCAGTAAGTTGCACTTGTGGAAAGCACTTTGTATTTCTAAGGCAGAGGTGAGTTGAGTCTTCACTCCTTCTTGTGTCCCCATTTGGCCATCTTGTTGTTGACGGGAGTCTTAATGAACCTGCTGGACTTCATGTAGGCAGCGATCTTCTCTAGAGCCTGAGACGACAGGAGAAGAGATAAGCGGACGGAAAATTAAATGACGTTTTCTGGCCCTGATTACTGAAGTAATCCGTTATCTCGGGTTTAATTACTCCATAAATATACTTACTGACGTCACAAAGACAGTTTCTCGCAAACAAAAGAATGGCAGCATCTTTGCGCTTTTTTTGCATCTGCCAGTGTCAGAGTTTTCTCACCTCAAAGCGGTCTAAGAAATCTTTGAGGTTTTTGAAGTCGTCCAAGCATGAAGGATGAAACATCCTGTGTTGATCCAGCAGCTCATACATGATGAAGTCCACAAAGGTGATCTAATGGGAACATAAATTATTACCAAGCAGCTTTTAAAGTACGCAATAAACTCAGGCATTTAGTCATGTTCAGGAAGTGAATTCATAATGAATATGTGCCAGTTCATTTAGCAAACTCTTTGAGCTCATTTTAATTTCCACCAGTAAATTAAACACAAATAATGGGAAGTAGGGAGCTCTTTCAGTCTGAAGAACCACAGGGTTTGTGGTTCTGGATAAAGTCCAAAGTCAGCAAATGTGTAAATTAACTTAAGTTATGATTAGATTACTTTCCAAATAGTCAGGATTTCTACATTTTCATGTGTAAAATTATTTCAGCTCATGTTAAAACATAAAAAACAAAAGTTTCTGAAGAATTTGTGGCAGACATTGTTAAGGATTTCAGGATGGAACCTGTGATAATCAGACAATGTAAAAAAGAAAAAAAAATACAGGTACATCTAAAAATTTTGAATAGTGGAAAAATTCAATATTTTTATGAATCTTCATAGTAAGAATAATTTCTGTAAACTGTTCAAGATATTCTATTTTTAGATGTACATAAACAGGAAGAAGGAAATTTAGAAGAAAGGATAAAGAACAATGAGGAAAGGAAAGATAAAAAAATGGAAGACAGGGATATATAAATACATTCAAAATATGCGTTTTCCATACTGTATAGGAACCCTGTACTTTGGCCTTAAATACATTTTGCTGAATGTTTTGATATTTTTGTAGCCAAAACAAGAAAAAAATGTGCTAAAAATAATAATTACGTTTATTTTCACTTTTAAATCTGAAATATTTTAATCTATATTAAGCCTACACTGCCCCCTGCTGGTGTCATTGTATAATATCTGAACTCAAGCTCAAAGGAACCAAACCGATTCCTCAAACTGTTTGAAATTTGAGACTTTTTTTCACTGCAAGTTTTAAATCTGCTTACATCAACAATTTGGTCTTTATAGAACATACTTAAAAATAACTAACCAGCTGAAAGGTGGCCACAGGAGCAACCAGCAAATTAGATGACTTACTATTGGATCAAACAATGTGCTACAAAGCTTAATTTTTAGCTTTCAATATAAACTCAAACTGAGACAACTTACCTTATCACCAGCGAACCACTTCCTGTCACCCAGGAAGTCAGAGAACCGCTTCAGCGTGCCTGGCAGAGAGCTGAGGTACCCCGGCTTTTGCTTTTCCTGATTTTATGGAGGGGAGGCCGACTTTAGTGGGTGTTCAGATTTAATGTGAAAACATTTAAACAACATCTACTTACGAAGTCGGTGTAGCACAGTATCACAAAGCCGTTTCTAAAGTCCATGGCCTGGTTCTCCAGCACGTCCACTCTGACCTTTTCATCCTCTGTCTCTCCACCTGTTATTACCCCAAAGTCCACAGAAAGAACATTTGGCTTCACAAAACTATTAAAGAGAAAAAACACTTGATTTTGTATTATGAATGAAAGACTCCAAAACATACACAGATTGTGTTTGCGAGCGATGTATCTCATGATGGCGTTGCTCTGCGTTATCTTCCTGTCTCCATCCAACAGGTAGGGCAGCTACGGTGAGGGCCAATCACAAAACCATCACCAACAAAACACTTGAACCTGCTTCACGGTGAAAGCAAAGCTGAGTGATTCTTACGTTGGGGAAGTCAATTCCAAGTTTCTCTTTCTCACCAAGCCAGCAGCTTCTGTCATAGTCCGGAGCTATGAGAGAGAAATGTGTGATTTATTCAAATCTTCTGGTGATGTAGTGGATTTTCTTTATCTGTTAACTGAAACAGCGCATCACCTTCACCACAAGTGTAAAACTTTTCATCATACGTAGTGCCGGTGTACTCCAGGAGGAGGCGGATGGGCTGGGCCAGCTGCACGGATTCAGAAAATGGGGAGAAATGATTTCATTGTCAGGGTTGACATCGACACCAAACGCAGACATGGACAAACTTCAGAAGACGCACAATTGAATTATTCAGTTTTATATAATAATAAAAAAAAACATTCACAGCATTATTTAAGTTTTAATAAGACTGAGATTTGTCTAGGCTTTATGTAAGGTTTAGATTACAACTTCTCAGAGGATGACTATTTGATTTTTCACTTAATTGAGTTTAGTGTCTAATTAAGTTTTAAATGACATTAAGACAACAGCTTGCGAAAAAGACTCTTGACCACTCTCTATGTGCTATAATGTAATTATCTTGCCATTCATTGTCTTCATGAAAACCTTCTCAAGTTAAAGTCTGTGTATTTGTCTCTGTAGGGATAATTAAACACAGTTCTCCACCAGCAAATCCTCAACACACTCGCAAACAAATCCACATTTACTGAGGATGAACATATTTGTTGCCTTCTTCTGCAGTCATTAAGAGGAAAAGAGTGCACATTTCTTTGATTTGGGTTTTCGTGCTTTTAAGCTAATTGAGAAGACGTCATTATGTTCTGGTCAAAGTCACACAGCTACACAAAAATGATTTTGCTTTGAGGATGAAGATTGATTGTTTTCTAGCTTGTAAAAATGTTCAACGGTAATTTTAATATGCAGCAAACAAAAACACTTTACTTTACAAAACATTTGATGCAATGTCAAATAAAATCCACAATTTAATGTCTAAAAATTACAAATGGCCAAAAACAGTTCAATACCACCTGTACTAAAATACATTTCCGTTAATGACGTTATGTTTGTTTTATATTTTACATAATCCAACTGAAAGTTTCTGCCATCAGTAGTCTTTAACAAAACTGGCAATTTTAAAAAGGCTATGCTCTAAAAAATTAAAAATTAACCATTGCATATAAATTGGTTTATTATATCAGTATGACTGTTGACCAGCAATACAAGAGGCAGTGAATAATTAACAAAAGTAGAAACAATCCATCAAAGGCTAAATGATGGATGGCAGATGAAAAGTGCAAGTCACATAAATCAGCAGTTTTCAAATGTTTCATACTATTCCTTCTTAGGAGCTAATAATCTCTCCAGGAAGCATTATGTTGCAAGTAAAATGCCAAAGTACAAGATTACAATCATCCATATCTGACATAAAAGAATAAACAGTTCAGGAGTCTCACTTATCAAACATTGCATGGGTACTAAACTAATGGTGTATTCACTCCTGGCACATTTGGGACGCTTCAAACAAACAAGAGTTTGTATCCCCTGATGGTCCAGACTTTTTGTGCAGGTGCGAATAAACTGATGTGAAACAAGCAAGACCCATTTTTTGAGGCGGCGTCGGTCTGCTTCCAACCAAACCCTTGTACAGTTTTGCCTTTGAGCTGATTGGTTAGAATCAGCTACTGTCTACATCGTCTTGCAAAATACAGCTTTATATAAAGGAACAATGAGCAACAGCTTTAAAAAAAAGTTAACTTAATGGCTTAAAACTGGGAGCAGCAAACCTGTAAAACAGGCTGTTTCAGTTTTGATCACATCTCTTGATACGGTACACACGTCAGGTGGATTTTTTCTAACAAAACATATATGTGTTTAGTGTTCAATCGTGACATGACTTGTGTGTGACTGTAATAACATTGTATTTCGTGATAAGTGTAACTACAGTCTATCCTAGGCGGCAGGCTGGTTATAAGCTCTCTAAAGTGCGCTCATTTGCTGTTCTCATAAATCCACAATTTGTATAAATTGGAATTAAAACCAGAATAAATTGGACTCTGTGCAAAAAAAGTGATAGTTTTGAATTGTGGCTTACTGAGGTAGACTCACTCATCTAATCAGTAAAAGGGCAGCGGAACTTTTCAGCATCTAAAATATATATATATATATAAAGAAATTAAGAAAATGCAGTTTTGAAAAGAGTCCACCAATCACAAGTCTAAAGGAAGACAGTTTCAGACTTTGGGGGCCAATGAACAGAAAGCTTTGTCTCCCTTGTTGTCATGTTAATATGGGACCTTCAGGGACCTTAAGGGACGCAGAGCTGCAGAAAAACCTGGGTCATAGTTCGGTGTTCGTCCACGAAGAGTTCTCTAAGACTGTAACATATTCCTAAATTACACTCTTAACTGGAAAACAGTATATAAAGACTATATGGGTTATAGCCCACATCAGACAGCACAAAAGATACTTGAGTAGTGCATTTGAGCAAAAATATCAGTCCAGTAAATGCTGTATTGAGTTTAGTATTTGTGTGTGCTCATTCCACCAGT